GTGTAAATATTTTTTATATTTAAAGTCAAGGGTCAAAATGGTAATTCAATATATTATATTCTAATTATTGTGATGAATGATTATCATGGAATTAATTAGTGTTTGTGATTTAAACATGGTGCATACTTTTTACTTTTTTTTTTCTGCCTTTTATTTATTTATTTTGTTTCGTATTCATGTTTTGAAATTAAATAAACATAATTAAAAAATGAAAAAAAGAAAAAGAAAAGAAAATAATAATAAAAGGTCAACGAAATGGTGGGGAAAATAAAAGAGGTTACTGGTGGAAGGGAAGGGGGGGGGAAAGTGGGCCCCATCCTTCTCCTCTATTACTCTCTTAAAAACGCATCTCCCTCGCTTTTATTGTCTTCCACTTCCCCCCCTTTCCGTTTTCTTCTTCTTCTTCTTCTTCTGCATTTTCTCTATCTCTCTCTAAACCCCCATTTCTCTCTCTCCTCCCATTTCCAATTCTTCTCCTCCATGTCCAAGCAGACCTACAGAGTGTGCTTCTGCTTCCGCCGGCGGTTCAAGATGACCGCCGGCGAGGCTCCTGACGAGATCAAGAATCTCTTTGACCAGTACTCCGAGAATGGAATCATGAACCCTGATCATTTCCAGAGATTCTTGATCGACGTTCAGAAGGAGGTCGAGACCACTAGAGATGATGCTCAGAATATCATTGAGCGTTGTACTAGTGAGCTCAAGCACTTGAACATCTTCCATCGGAAAGTCCTCAATCTTGAAGCCTTTTTCAAGTACCTCTTCAGCGATCTTAACCCTCCGCTCGAGTCTCTTGGGGTAATTTTCATTCGATTTTAGTTTCTATATGTGTTTTTGGCTCAATTTTTGGTGGTGGACGACGGGTGTTACTGTCAGTTGTGATGTGGAATTGAATTATTTAATGAATCCACTTTGTGTTCTTGCTTGTATTGAAAAGGATCCTGGGTCTCCTTGTTTTTCTGTCCCTTTCCCTGTGTCGACGTGTGTTTGTTTATCAAATATAACTTTTGTTTTCAGCATTTCTTGGGGTAAAGCATCTTGTTACTTTGTAAGTTGTACGAGGATAAGTTCGGCATTACCACTGAACATGGAATGGGATATATTCTGTTTTTCAGGTGCACCATGATATGTCTGCTCCTTTATCGCATTATTACATATATACCGGTCACAATTCGTACTTGACTGGGAATCAGCTCAGCAGTGACTGCAGTGATGTGCCCATCATACAAGCCCTGCAGAGAGGAGTTAGAGTAATTGAATTGGATCTATGGCCGAATTCGTCAAAGGATGATATAGATGTTCTTCATGGCAGGTATGATTTGTTTCTCCCTTTTTTGTTTCTTTTGTTACGGTAACGGGCACCTTTTGTTTTTCCACTAGTAAATCCTAATTGGAAGATTGCTTTCCAGGACCCTTACTACCCCTGTGGAGCTCATTAAATGCTTGAAATCTATTAAGGAGCATGCCTTTGTTACATCTGAATATCCAGTTGTAATAACATTGGAAGACCATCTTCCTCCTCATCTTCAGGCTAAAGTGGCAGAGGTGCGCACTGGTTTGGTTTCTGTTGCCCCTCCCCTGTTGATCTTATAATAATTTTCTGAACTGTTCTAGATGGTAACAAAAACATTTGGAGACATTCTGTTCACTCCTGGCCCTGAATGCTTAAAGCAATTTCCTTCTCCCGAATCATTGAAGAAAAGAATTATTATCTCAACTAAACCACCTAAGAAGTACCTTAAGACCAAAGATGTTCCTAAAGAGGGTGAGCCACAGAAGGAAAAGACTTCTTCTAATGATAAAGATACATCAGCATGGGGAAGAGAAGTGTCCAGCTTGAAAGGTGGCATTGTAACTGACTACAAGGTCTGTGATGGTGCCCATGAATTTCGTTATCCTTGTGATTTTTTAAACTGGTTTTGGCCTAATGCTTGGTTTCTACATCACAGCCAGATTTGGAAGAAGATAGTAATGAAGAGGAAGATCCTGAGGATGGAGATCCCAAGTCTACAGACTCTACACAGAATATTGCACCTGAATATAAAAATTTGATTGCTATTCATGCGGGAAAGCCTAAAGGTGGAATTGATGCATGCCTCGAAGTGGATCCCGAGAAAGTTAGACGCCTGAGCTTGAGTGAGCAGCAACTGGGAAAGGCAGTGCTTACTCATGGAAAACAAATTGTGAGGTATGAACAAAATCTATGTTTTCAACAAAAAAAACATTCGTAGTATTTAGCGTCTAGTTAATGAACTCTGACAAGCAGATATCTAAATGGGTTATGTAAACATACATTTCGATGGTCTTACATTTAGGAGGTCCAAATTCTTTTGAAGTGTTTCTGTGTTTATTAAAAAAAGTCAGAGTCGGTGTGCATAAAGTCGTTCTTTTCATTGATTGAGATACGGAAATTGTTGGAGTCTAAATGCCCTAAAGTTCAGTGATTCTGTAATTAATGGATGAATGGGTAGGGATAAGGATGGTGCAGTTTTTGTTATCTGTACACCTTTTTAGGCAGAGAACCGTGGGAGGTAGAGGAGTTTGGTATTTACTGAGATTTACAAATATTAGAAAAGAGAAGTTTCTTTCTTTTTCCTTTTTCCCTATTGAAGTAACATTGTCACGGTGTTTATCTCTTCACATAGTTCATATGTGTTTCTCTTAGGTTGTTTATTCTAGGGGAAATTTTTGTTAATTATGGCAAGTTTTCTCTTCTTACTTGCCGTAGGTTTACTCAGCAGAACATTTTGAGAGTGTATCCAAAGGGGATCAGAGTTGACTCATCCAATTATAACCCAATGATTGGATGGATTCATGGTGCTCAAATGGTTGCGCTCAACATGCAGGTCCTTTCGTCTTCTACCTTATACTGAACCAGAGATCTAGATATAAATCGTTTGGATACCAAATTTCTTTTTTCATTCTTTCCCATTTTTCTTTTTTTTGTTAGGAATAAGGATGTCTGACCCCTAGCAGTTTGAGATGAAAGATTATCTAAGATCTATACTTATTGTTAACCAGTTAATTGGATACTATCAAATGAAACTTAGAATCCCCTTCCTAAACTTTGGCTGCTGACTAGAAATGGGGTTGAGTTTCATTTTTCTCTAATTAAACTTCTCCAATGACCCAATTTTCTTAGTCAAGCATTTTGTTTCTTTTTATTGGTCATAATTTGTTTCTCCAATTTTTCAATCACTGAAAATAGGATTGTGTGTGAATTATCACAGGGTTATGGTAGGTCACTATGGTTGATGCATGGGATGTTCAGAGCTAATGGCGGGTGTGGTTATGTAAAAAAACCAGATCTTATGCTGAAGCCTGGTTCAGATGATCAGATCTTTGATCCAAAAGTTAGGTTGCCTGTGAAAACAACTTTGAAAGTAAGGGCTCCGCAACTATTTTTTGTCCCTCTTATCTGACTGTGCTTCAGTTTCCTGTAGCCACTGGTCAAGTGTAAATGTAACTTCGCTTATTGTACTTGACTGTACTGATAGTTTTGATTATATTTTCTGTTGAGAAGGTGACTGTGTACATGGGAGAAGGATGGTATTATGATTTCCATCACACACACTTTGATGCTTACTCCCCACCAGACTTTTATACGAGGGTATGTCAATGAAGTCTTTGAATTAAAACCTTTAGGTTGTTTCAATAAAAGAAAAATTGCTAAAACCTGTTCTTTTTGCACTTGGGATTGTTCGATTATGTATGCAGGTGGGAATTGCTGGAGTTCCAGCTGATACGGTAATGAAAAAAACGAAAACATTAGAGGATAACTGGGTGCCTGCTTGGAATGAGGAATTTGAGTTTCCACTATCCGTACCAGAACTTGCTTTGCTTCGAATCGAAGTTCACGAGTACGACATGTCAGAGAAGGACGATTTTGGAGGCCAGACATGTCTGCCTGTTGCGGAATTAAGAAAAGGGATTCGAGCAATTCCGCTCCGCAACGTCAAGGGAGAGAAGTACAAATCAGTCAAGCTGCTGATGGGATTTGAATTTGTTTAACAATGAAGGCAAGTTCTACGACATCAAAAGAATGTACAGCTTCAAATTAGTAAGCTTTTCTTGCTCCTCTCCTTGATTCTATTTTATTGGTATTGGTGTTTAGTTTTCTTTTTGTGAGGATCCATTGGCTGGCCGAGTATCAATCATACCATATGTATTGCTGTAGTAGTTGTTTTGACATGGAAGAAGAGGCTGTATTTCCTTATGTAGAGAAGCTAGTCCATGACAATTCCTCTCACTGTTCAATCAAGTATTTGTTCTTTTTGTTAATTGGCTGTTTCAACATGTGTCTCTACTTTCTTTAAGCGCACTGCAAAAGTTTCTCTGTTGCCCCACACGTGTTGATGAATTGTTGATTATTAGAAAAGGTTTCTTGGATGTTATTTGTGACAGATGTGTTATTGCTCAACTTTATTTACAAAAATATCATTTTTGGATAAGGTAGCTGAGCTTTCCACCCATCAGCATTCAAATATCATAACCACCATTTTATCCTCTCGGTTCTACAATCTCTAAAGGTTGTTTAGTCATGTCATATCATATCATATGAGATTTCTATTGTTGTTACAAGCGAATGACCAATTTAACGCCAGAGCGGCCTCCATTGAATTCAAACATAATAAGGTGCCAAAATTTTCAAAATGTTGACTCCCATTGAAAAGCCTTCCCATGGCCTCCCTTTGATTTTTTGTTTGCCATCACAAATAAATGCAACTCCTATTTCTTTTCCTATTCCTCTCAACATTGACCCTTTGGTCCTTTCATTGTCCATTATTCTTATTCATTTACTATACACATAATACACCTTTCTTCTGTTGGCCCACTTTCTCCTTTTTTTCCCCTTTATTTCATTTGTTGGCCCTAAATTTTCATTATTCCTTTTTGGGGTCAAAATTTTGGAGAATACATGAGGACCCTCCAATACCCAACAAATTTCATTTCACATTCAATCTTCTCCTCCTACTTTTCTTTTTGTGTTCCACATGAAATCATTGGCATGTCCTTAATGTTTCCTCAACATTCTTTGAACATAGTGGTTTTTTTATCGATCAAAATGTTCGTGATGGTCCCATGATCTTGAACTGTTAGTTTGGTCGGGAACGGTTGTACCGAACAAAGATATGCACAAACAGTGTGAAATGAAAGGTTCTATGAAATATTGTGAGTTGCAGAGTGAAAGAAATGATAAGGTTTGTGGGGGTGCTGTTTTCAGCTCAAAACTTTTGTTCTCTTCTCTGAAATTTTCGTGAAGAATTTTTGAAGAATTTCACTCTGAAACAATGGAAATTCCACCACTAGAGCTGTTGCCATGACTATCATCACAAAGATTCAAAGCTCGTTCCAAATTCACAACAATGTCAATCATCGTTGGCCGATCTTTCCCTTCCAACCGCACGCAGTGCATCGCTGTGTAAGCCACAAGCTCTACTGCCTCTGCTTCGTTCATCTGCGGTGGCCCAACTCTTGGATCCAAAATCTTCCCCAGTTCTCCGATCGTAATCGCAGGCACTGCAAAATCGACCACGCTCACCAGTGTCCCTCCTTGCTCATCATCCTTAAATATAGCTCTCTTCCCTGTCAAAAGCTCCAGCAACACCACCCCAAGCCCATACACATCACTCTTAGCAGTCAAAACGTTCAGTCCATAGTACTCAGGATCAATGTAACCAACCGTCCCAGCTGCCTTCATCGGCCGGTAATCAAGGTCTGACCCGGGACTCATCAACGACAACCCGAAATCGGATACTCTCGCTGTCCAATTCGAATCGAGAAGAATGTTGGATGATTTGATATCCCTATGGATTATAGGAGGGACTGCATAGTTATGAAGATATTCAATTCCTCTTGCTGCATCTAAAGCAATTTTGATCCTCATTTTCCAAGAGTTCACAACACTGCTACCCTTTTCAGAGTTGGTCTTGTCATGCAGATGATTGTAAAGTGCACCATTTTTCATATACTCATAAACCAAAAGCCGCTCATCTTTCTCCTCACAATACCCCACAAGCCTCACCAAATGCTTGTGATTAAGTCTAGACAAGAACGCCAATTCTGAATCAAAAGCACTCTCCTTCTCCTGAAACTTCTTCGTCTTTGGCCCCGTTTCGCCTCTCTTGATCGCAACCTCCCGCCCATCGCTGAGTTTCCCACGGTACACAATGCCAAAGCTCCCTTCACCAATCTTGTTTTCATGGGAGAAGTCATTGGTAGCCAAAGCAAGCTCAGCCAGAGAGAATTCTTCTGCTCTATCGGCGTGCTTCGAGGACGTACCACTCCTCTGCCTCCGCATTATTCGAGACCCTTGTCGCCGAATCGTCGAAGACCGTGATGGCGGGCTGTTGTTCGTGTTTGACGTTGTTGTCCCACCATTTGAGCTAGCAGCTCGAGTAATGGTCGGCTGAACAGAGTTGTGTATCTTCTTATGACCAAAACAAACACCAGTCCATAAACAGTAAACAACAGTACAAATCCCAGCAACGGCCCCAACTGAGCCCACAATAGCAAAAGCCAGCAAACCCTTTCTCAATGCCGCTGGAGGAGGTGATGGGGTCACCACCATTGGCGGCGGCGAGGGCGGAGGAGGCGGTATTGGCAAAAACGGTGGTGAAACAGTAACCAAACAACGATTACAGACATTCCCAGAATCAGAACAGAGCGTTTGAGAGAGAGGATAGACACCACAATCCCGACAAGAAGATTGAACACAAGGACCAGGAAGAATCTTAGGAAGAGGAAGTGAAAAAAGACCAGAAGAATCGTTCGACCAGCCAGGCCCCCAACAAAGAACAGAGAAATTACTCGTCGTTAATCCACAAACGAAATCCGATCCCGAAGAAATTAACTCAAAAGAAGTTTCTCGAATTGAATCCACAGAGAAATCTGAGCTTCCCCAACAAACCACCGATCGATTCGAGAGCAAAATCCCACAGCTATGGCGTTCGCCGAGGGCCAATTCAGAGAACCCTCTGGATGAATTCGAAGGAAAATCCAACTGCCCAAAATCGTTGTTCCCCCTACAAACCAACCCACCGGAGATATTCAATCCACAAGCATGAAACCCACCGGCGACGATGGTCGACATTGAGATATTTCGAAACCCATTTTCGATTAGGGCCGCAATCGACGAATTCCGACCCCAACATCGAACGGATTGATTACCCTTCAAAATTCCGCAAGAAAATCCAAACCCAGAAGAAATTGAATCGAATTGAAGAGAAGAAAATCCAATGGAGTTGTTACCATCGCGCCAGCAAGTTGCATTGCCGGCGCCGACCACGGTGGCACAGATTTGGTCGGCGCCGACGGCGAGATTCTCGAGAAGGACAGTGGAGTTGAAGTAAAGCCTTCTCCGGGAAAACGCAGCAGTATTTTGATCAAAGTCCCAGCAGAGAAGAGTATAGCCGCCGGCTCTTATGCCGCAGAAGGTATCCCGACCGCCGGAGATGACGGAGAAGGAGATATTTGGGTCAATAAAAATGGTTTGACCGCGACGGAAGCAGAGAATCCTTTGCGTGGGCTGCTCGGCGACGATGCCGCAGACGGTGGCGGAACCGTAGCTGACAGCAAGCGTGGAGGCAGAGCCGAGAGCTAAGGTCGCCGGAAGAAGAGGGAAAACGACAGCGATGAAAGAGAGGACGGGGATAGCAGCGGTGAGAAGAGGTAATCTCGTCATTTAAAAGAGGAGAGAGGGAGAGGAAAGGGGTTTTGTTGGGTTGTAGCCTGGCGTAGTTCATTGGGAGTCTCAGCAATGCGCAGAGGAGAGAGAAAACAGGAGACCCAGATGAAGAGAGAGAGAGAGAGAGAAAGAGAGGGAAAAAAGAGGGTATGAATTTATTAGACTGAAATTTTAGGGAAAAACAATCTTAACTGGTTCTAAGCATAATGTAGAAACATAAACATGTCCACACCAGCCATATAAGAGCCACGTCGGCGATACTGGAGAAAAGGAGAACCACGTGGCATGCAGTGAATGGAATACGCGCCTACGAGGTGAGCCACGTGCGTGACCTTCATTTTGGTTCAGAAACCGCAGCTGCCCGACTTTGACCTTACAAAACAAGTAAGACTCAGCCACTCACTCCTCCATTATTAATTGTAATTAATTAATTTTTTTTTTTTTAATAAACAAATAATCTATGTCGTTTGTTAGGTTAGTTTGATTCTTTTTATGTTGTTTTATCATTTTTATTTTAATAGGTAGACCACATTGTTTGAAACAAACCTATATATGTTAATTCATCGAGATAATATCTCATGTACCTAAAGTCACATCAATTTAGTTGGATGGATATAGATGGATGAATTGATATTAACACTTCGAGTTCAACTTTGAAGCTTCTAATGTTCATTTTTCTTCTTCTTTATAATCCGATTTAAAACTCGACCGTTATATATGCAACCCATGAAAAAAATAATAAAAATTGAAATTAAAGTTTGGAAGTGGTCAAAAGAAATAAATATGAGAATAAATGGAGCAGCAGCTGAAAGTGAAAGAAACTGAGTTTGATATGTAAGACTGACTCAAATTCAAATTCAAATTCAAATTCAAATTCCTTGGATATAAATATCTCTTCAAAAAGTTGTCTAACATTTGGTGCAGACTTCACAATTTCCGATGAATATATCATTCTCACCTTTGCTTTTCTTTTCTAACATTAGTGTATAGGTAAAATTTTGTATTCTGGAAAAAAAGAAAAAAATTACTACATAATTAATAAAATTAAGAAATCGATTAGATAAAAGAAAAAATTGAAAATTCAAGGGCTGAATTGGTAATTTAAAAATATATATTTGACCAAAAAAGTTTAATTGAAAAGCTGACAACACACAAATGTGGAAAGGACAGAGCATACCATGAAAACAGAATCTTCCAAAAGCAAATAAGAACAGCTCAAACAAACATAATCAACAAATTTTTTTCTTTTAAAAAAATAATAAAATAGCAATAAACAGCATGAAATGTTGGATTATTTGATGGGTGGAAAATATTAAAATGAAATTAAAAAGAAAAAATGTAAATGGAGTATTGAGTAGAGGGTGTGAGGGCAATCATGGGTGTTCGTGAAGAGGATAGCATTACTTATACATTCCAAATATAATTAGTTCTTCGCCAACACATTCCTTTTTCCCTTCTTTTTTACTCTAAATTTAGACAATTTTTTTTTTTTTTTCTCTTCTAAATTCCTTAATTTTTTAATATTCTGGAGAAGCCACAAAACAGTTAATAAAGCAACCACAGGGAGGAAACAACTGATATTTATTGGTAAAAAGTTCAAGAAAATTCCTACAAACATATCCAACAACACTGCATTAATAAATTACACTTCAGAATTCCTACAAATTTACAATCTTAATACTACATATGATTTTCAAACAATTGGATGCAACTTTTCAGGATCATATCCACGATGTACAACATGAAGCTATACAGAAGTTCAAGAATCAGAATCTGACTCCTAAATGTGCTCTGCCCTTTTGAACAAGAAAGCTAACTGTGTTAACTGGAGCATGAGCAGAGAAGAATGTACCTTTCTCCTTGGCACAGATTTTCGTTGAATTTAGGTTGGAATTCCATGCTTCTGAAACCATTCAGGCATATGGAATCTTTCGTACAGCACTGATCTGACGTCGTTCTGCAGCGAGAGGTGCTTTAGGAGTGGAAGAATGACATCTAGAAGCTGTAAATGGAGAAAAAGGAAGACGGTCACAATATGAATTATTGTGAAGATGTACTGTTGTTGAAAGATGCAGAATTTTCAATATTTTCCCACCTGTGAATCGTGTGGTTGCCCTGCAGAAAATGGAATGCAAGGAATTCCATTCACAGGTTGCAATAAAAAACTGAAAGGATTGTTATCAACGATGACTGTTCTTCTTAGATCCTTTGATAGGCAGCTGAGATCCTTCACGTGATCTCGATATTCCCTGTAGATTGCATACCAGAACCATGGGTTTTACAGAAAATAGACACAATTGGGATACTTAGCTTTGAAGTAAGTGCTTTTAGCTTAACTTGAAATGGGTAAAAAAAAACACTTTGAAAGTGAGTGCTTTTAACTTCTGTGAGGATCTAAATAATGTACCAAGTGAAAGCTCAGTTTCTTACCAAAAAAATAATAATAATAACTCAGTTTCCATCTAATCTTGATAAATTTAACTACTGACTAAACAAACTTATCAACAATTGGGGCATGTTTATGTCCTATCCAAAATCACTGCCAAACATATGCACTTAATCACTGCATTCAATATCAATAAAGAATGGACTTAAGGATATAAATACATGTACATGAAAAAAATCTTATTCGAACTCCTGAATAGTTCAAACTTGTTTTTGAAAAGGGTGTGTTCAATAATCATAATAGTATAATGTCTTTCCACAGTTGAAGCGTCGATAGACTTGAATACGGCCAATCTAGATAAGAAGTAAACATTGCAAATAGTTGCTATGCTGATCGAATAGAAAAGAAGAAAATAGCAGAAAAGTACTTACGTGCTAATTGTTGAAGGCCTATAAAGTCGAAGACTAAATCGATTTTCTTCATCTATCCTGTCAACAAGAGGTCTTGCATATCCTGAGGCGTACACATAGATGACATCCTTCAGATTCTCTTTCATTTTTCTATTATGGGCAAGGATATTACTTGATAATATAATGGATAGTAAAGTGTACAAACCTTCAAGACCAGCTGTGAATAGTACAAGATCTGCAAAGCTACCTAGTTGATTTAAGAAATCATGCAAACCCGGACGCTCAAAGACAGTAACATAGTTGACCTTAGGCTTCCCTTCACAGTCCTTCAAATAGCAGCATACCCAGGTAAGATGGTTTAACTAAAACTCACAAAACCAAATCAATACAAGGTTACTGGAAAGTAAACTACCTTATCTGAAGAAAAACACTCGAGTTCGAAACACTTCAGTCCAGCTTCTATTGCTTGATTCCGAATAACAGCAGGCAGAGTGGATGTCTCATATGCACATATGAGAGTTTCATCCAAATCGAGAACTATCTGTAATTATCCAATGCCAGATGTGGAATTAATAAAGGAAGCGCACAAGGGAAACAAAAGGAAGATAAAAGAGGAATGAGCCATATGTAATTTCTTGAAACGACTTTAACTTCACAGCTTCACACGGCTTCTCCACAAACTTCTAACATCAGAAGCTTTACATAGCACAGGAAAGCGTTTTCAAACCATAAAATTCAGTTCTATAATGGACGAATATAGTTCGTCCAGATTGGAATAAGCATTTACGGAGTCCCAGAGGTAGATTCTTTCATCTACTACTAATGAATCATCAAAATGAAATACTGCAGAACCATAGGCAATGAAGTTGAAGCTTCCTGTCCCTATTTTCATCAAGAAAAGGCTCGTCTCCTCTTCCCCAAAATGATATCAATAATTTTCTCACATACACCAGGGCCAAGCCGGGTTAAACGTTACTCCCAAACTCTCACAAACATTAAACGAACAAGCATATCAGTTGAAATCATTGCCATAGACGAATAATTGCAAAATCAAGCAAACCTAATCAGCGCAACAATTGCACAATTTCATGAAAAAACCAGCACAAAACACAAATTCTTTCCAGCAAACAAATTTGGGGGGGGG